GGAATGTTTTGATTGAAAACCAGTATCCTGAGCGTTTCGTTGCTAAAACTATGAGACTGAAAGCAAATAACCATCCCACTTTTACGGCTCCTAAGAAACCTGTTTTCACCAGCTTACACATCAACAGATATATTGAGAAACCGTCTGGCATGCTCACTGAGAAAGACTATCTATGCTGAGAAACTCAGAGTGACTTTTTCCACTCACCTAATGATACAATTGTGCGTAGAGGACAAGCCAGCTCCCTTGGCTACCTTGATGTGTGTTTATCAATTTTATTTGCTGCTATGGAGTAAGGCATTTTGGGCGTATTCAGCGTTCGCTTTGAAAACTCATTTCCGAACATATACCAGCCTGGTTCCACAAAGAAGAAAATAGGATACTTCACAGCTCTATTTTAGAAGATTTGATCTATTATAACCACCTGGTAAGTGCAGAAAACAGCTTCATTGTTATCTATAGAGTTCTTGCAAATCTCCTGAAAGGTTTAAGCCTAAAACGTGTTCAAACTGCGGAGGGTCACGGCAAATAATATTCTGAAGAGTGAATTTTGCGTCCTAAAGAAATTTGTCCAGTCACTCCAGTTGCAATGGATATAACATATAAGAACTTTTTGACCTTCAAAAATCTTTCCACTCAAATCTTCTCACACATTACATTCCTCCATTGCTATAATTCTGATTTCTTTTTACATTCACCATATTACATAATCCAGCTTGGTAACCAAATCTTAATTCCATCTAGATAAGTTTTCCCATAACTATTTCATATGCCGGGTAATTCGTTTTTTTCCAAACAGGTATGAACTTCGTTCAAAATGTTTCATGAAACATCCCTTTTCTGTTACTATGTCAATAGAATATTTACATATGCTATTGTACGGTTTGAGAATGATTTTACTGGAAAGACTCCTTTGCCTAAACATTTAACGTTTTTTACTTAGGCTACTATCAAGTAGTATAAAATTTGTAATATAAATATTATTATCGAACTGCAGAGCCTTTACCCTGGATATTCTTCTTTGAAAAATTTATCACTGGAATAATTTAACTAATATTTTTTAGAACAGTGGGTCCTTAATATAAGAATGAAAAACGTCAAAGTGATTTTCCAACTGGTATTAAAAGCTTATGATGTAAACAAACAAGTCTTTATTTGTGGGACACTGGAATCCCGGAAGTTTCACCGTCTTTAACTTACTAGTGTGCAGAATGGCGCAATATCCATTCAGTATCACCAGTGAATATCCATCCATACACTCAGTTGCTTAGAAGACTCACAGATCACATGAATATAAAAACTATACTAACATTTGCAAAGTAAGATAAAATTAGTCGAAAAAAGTGCGGAGACGTTATTTTTTCCACGTACAGTTTTTCATAACTCATGAAACACTGGTTCAGGATTTCTCGCCGATTGCATCAAAGCACTTGCCAGCATACAAAGTATATTTTGATGCAGAACATCTAAGCTCAACTAACGCACTGTAAACCTGACTGATCGAATTCACTTGACAATGATATAGGATACCTTTCAGCAATCAACCGGTGTATCCGATCTACTTCTCGAGTCACTCGCGACTCGAATAGCTCAACAGTAATGTATCTGAGTGTAGCGTTAGGTGACACACGATCAGATATCCGGGTCAGTATCAATCCCTCCATGGATGTATACTAATAAGTGCCAACAGTGTCAGAAACGTAGGTCCATACTTTCCTGCTGTTGTCTAACATCTACCCATCCTCCATAACTTTGCTTCCAAGAAACTTTTTCAAAGGTGACATCACTCGTAGTAAATCTGCTATAGGCCGATTTCCCTTTAGTAGATCCCCAGACTAGTTTTTTCCTTCATTACTCGAAATCCGTCTGAATTGATGGACTCTTTTTGTTATATGTTAGTGAGGTTGCAACAATATAAAACATTGCTTCATCACTGTTATGGTTTATGCTACTAGTGTTTATGTTTCTAAAGGTTTACGCTTTGTAGGGACTTTATTTGACATCAGTCTGCAGTGCATACATATCGGTTGTATCAACTAGAGCAAAGATGAGACCAGCAGAAAGAGTAAACTAGAAGTGAACCTTGAGAAATTAAGGAATGACAGATTAATAAGAGCCAGTTTGGATGTTTTACGGTGATTGGTTAATTTCAAAAGATGCCATATGAACAACCAATCAGAACTAAGGAGGGCCAGATAGCTGTCTCGTCCTAGTTTGTGACTCCTCAGCGGCATGCTTTTTTTAAATGTAATCTCTATATAAGCTTATGGAAAAACAAGATTCTCCAGTAAGTTTCTGTTCAATAAGAAGATTAAACATTAATCGTTTTACAACTACTTTTCTAAACCTAGTTGATAATTATAATTTTCATTGGTGAAATTTGGATCCAGATAATCAACCACTCGTAGGTGTTAGTGCTCTTTAACATTGACTAGATAATAGCAAAATTCATGCCTGGTATGAAATGTACCATGTCCGAGAAAAGGTATTTCGTGTTACCATTTCACTATCTTAGGCGAATCAGACTAACCAATCAACATGGAGAATTCAACATTAACTCCTCTGTCCACTTTTCTGACCGATCACTAGACGACCATTCTCTGTTTTGATACCTGATACTTCTCCAATGATATGCTTCTGACCGCTTGATGTACTGTAAGCAACCTATGAATACAAGTGAATTTGAGGTTTTCCAATTGCCTGTTGATTAGTAGATGGGGTGCTTGAAGCCAAGCTGATTGATAAGCGATCCTGGTTGACATAAATGGTGTTTGGTATATTATGGTGTGTTTGATGTGTGTGCAAGAACTTTGAACTCTCTTAAATACCTGTTTAATTGTTGACGTTGATACTTGGACTTGTCACGGTACTCCTTGAGAACTTTTCTGAAAGATTTATCATGGGGTTTAGTTTTTGTAAGGCTGGATTTCAGCAATTACTACGTGGTTTTCATCAGTATGATCTAAACTAATGTCCGCATCATCCATTATCTTCTAATGGATAATTTAGGGGTTACTATCATCCTCATCCATCAGTGTAACATGATCTATGTCATCAAGATTTTTTAACTCATTTTCATCCTCACTAGGTCCATCATTTAACTAATTACTGAGAGTCTTTTACAAAATCTGAGGACTATTAAACGTAATTTCTTGCTGAATGGAACACAATATTTGATAATTGACTTTTGCAATAATCTTCAAGCTCCCCGCTTCCATTCTACCTTCTTAGCGCTGCATAAAAGCTTGAAATTGCAGTCACTGAAAAAGACACCGTGACTGCAGTCGTAGAATTTAAAACTAAACTTCGACAAGCGCACTCAGATATGAGGACTCAATGTCGAGTGTGGATTTATGTCATATTTGGTGACAGAATTGCAGTACCAAAGAGTTTTCGCTGAACAAACTGCACAATCGCCATGCAAGTTGATAGGCAGAGGCTAAAAATATAAATCAATATTCAAGGTCATCAGCCGTCTGGGTAGAAGTTTTCTTGTTTTAGATTTTGATTTATGTCCATATATGGACGAAATGACCTTATTGGACGATTCGGTAGCCAATAAGATTGTGTTATTCTGTCTTTGACCTAGGGCATTTTTTGTGTGTGGGAATTGTATATGCATGCCATAATTTACCAAATAAAGTTATCGTCTTTGTAGTCACAGGTCAGCCTCTGCCTTTAGATATATGGGTGAGTCAGTGAAGAATAAGAGGCTGAGGGGGGATAGTCATATTGATGTTCAGTTCTAGTGTATCGCTGGGTTCAGTATCGTTATAACCTACGTCTTATTCTACTCGATCACTTCACAGCTGTAACTAGAATGAATTCTTTGTAGCATAGTTGCGTACATTGGCCCAATATGATCGAAGGAATCCACTAAAGTCTTTTCCACACCTATGGCAGATGACCGAAACTCTATTCACGTCTACATGGTCGGGTTAGTACAAAGGAAAATATATCTTCCATACCAAAGTGCATGGAAGAAGCTACAATTGCTAAACTCTCCGGTTCGTTTAGCTGCTTTGGTGTCCCAGAAACCATGGTAACCGATAATGGTATACAGTTTTCTTCAACAGAACTCGAAGCTTTTTACAGACAAAATGAGGTCCAGTACTTACGTCTTCCCACCCTATCAACTACAACCAAACTATCAGCTAGAAAGACTTATGTAGACATCTGAACCGACATTGTTGAAAGGGGAAGAAAAAGAATTGGCAAGTACCGTCATCACGGAAGCACTTCAAACCGCAACATACCAAATGGAAGATTTCCTGCAGTTTGTATGTTTGATCGCGAATAAGAACTGATTTTGCATCTGTGCTGCCATAGCGATGTCAGAAAAGAGTGAACGGCTACAACAAAACAGAAAGTTTCTTCCAGCTGTTAAGGTTTTGATCAGAAGACACCAGGGTGGAATTCTCTGGCAAACGGCAGTGATCATCCATAAAACAAGGAGAGTACTTTACCAAGAGAAAGTTGATATAGAACTCTGGAGAAGACAAATTATTCGAATAAAACCTAGACATCATAATCCCAGTAAACCTGATATTTCTCCCACCGTACCACTAAATATGTTACGGGAAAACCCACAGCAGTTAGAAGTAGTAAGATTATTCGCCAGAATTCTGCCAGTTCGAAATAACCCCGACGTCAAATGATCCGCTTCACGAGACGCAATCAAGAAAATTTGAGTGAATCCAAAACAATCTTCTTACTTAAAGGAACAGATGTTAGTTATGTATGAAGTAAGACAATATTCTCTAGATTCCGCAAAGAAGCCTGATATTCCCTGGAAAGACTTCACAGGCAATCACAGTACGCTGAATATTTGCGAAAAACCACGCGATAATACCTGTACAAGTCTGATTGGTAGCATATCTTCCTTGAGGGGTGTAGAAGATGTCAAGACCGTCATATGTGTATACACCGTTACTTTTTGTACCTGTTTCCGTTTGATAATGAATTGATTGTCGTTTAACCGCTTCGTTTATGTTTCCTAGGGACTCAGCGATATTCAAGAGTCCACTCCCAGTTACACAACAAAAGATATATCAATATTTCTGAGAAGAATCACTAATATCCTGAAAAAAATGCAAGTCGAGAAGTGTGTTCCTTACAAACCGAAACTTTAAACGAATAAATCTTCTTAAAGTTTTCATTCTCATAACAAAATTGAATGATCTACAGACTGACAAATATGAATTGAAAGAAGACAGAGACAAGACAAAAAAGAAAGGCGAACAAATTGAAGAAATATTTGTCCTTATAATTTTGATTTACGCAGTTTATCCAATAAAATCCTTTTCTTTTGAGTATATATGTATATGTTTATTCATTTATTTATTCAATCAATTCTCTTGATACTTTCTGAAAAGTCTTTTCTTTCACACAACAATTTTTGATGGAAATTTTTGTTTCCTTCTTACAAAGGTGTTCTGTATTCGCATAATGAGAATATAAGTTGGTAGGTAGGTAAGTAGGTGGGTATGCAGGTAAGTGGGTAGGTAGGTAGGTAGGTAGGTAAGTAGGCAGGTAGGTAAGTAAGTAGGTAGGTAAGTGGGTAGGTATGTAGGTAAGTGGGTAGGTAGGTAGGCAGGTAGGTAAGTAGGCAGGTAAGTGGGTAGGTATGTAAGTAGGTAGGTAGGCAGGTAGGTAAGTAGGCAGGTAAGTGGGTAGGTATGTAAGTAGGCAGGTAGGTAGGTAAGTGGGTAGGTAGGTAGGTGAGTGGGCAGAATGCCAGTAAGTGAGACAGCTTGAAGTAATCAAGATACTTATCGATTAATGCTTTGGTCTTTTATTGTTCCAGTGACAAGTGTTAAAGATGCACATTTTCAAAGTTTCTTTTTTGAATGAACATTTAAAAGAAACTTCAGTGGTTCTCTTCACTACCATCATCTGACACTCTCTGTACTACAAGTCCCCATGTACTGGTCACCTATTAAATTTAGATCATACTGGATATAAAAATTGAGTTAGCTTTCCTGTGTTAATATCTAGAGTGCTTGCAAACACACATCGAACAAGATATAAGTTGAAGATGGTAGCAAAGAAGCAGTAGGTGGGACTGAGTAAGAGGGGAGTAGGAGGTTTGAAGTTTTATAGTAGCTTTTAGAATATACGATTTCACTTTCTCATCCATTAAGATATTTTGACAATGCTGTTGACGTTAATAATAATGAAAAGTTTTTTAAGTACATTTATTAAGCAATTTTCCTTCCCCTCTTACTTGTCTGACTGTTTATTGCCTGATATATACCACTTTCAATTAAATAGGATGGTGATAATAAACGCGAAACACTTTATGAGCTATTCTTTTGATAATTCATTCAAAAAACTGCTCTCCAGTCTTACAGATAAATGCATTTTTATATGCAGATGACTTATGGATAATATGTTCACATACATCCTTCTCTAGAGGCCATTTAATGAAGTAGACAATTGGTAATCATTATAATGGAAGCAACATTTATGTGGTAATTCGCTGATGGGGGACTGTAAATTGTTCCTAATAAAATGGACAATACAGGCAGGTACATACATATCATCATGACAGATAAACGTTCATATGCACCACACAGTTAACAAACTTTTCAGAGTGAGTTGTCCTCTGAGCTAAAATTTCAGTTGGTAAACTTTTCAGTGTCATGCTAGACACTGCCGTCAATGCATTAGGCTTTACTAGAGATAGAAGTAATTGGTTTTGCATGGATATTTGTTTATAAGGCGCTACTTCGTCTGCGTGTGATTCGATTGGTCTTTTGGTGTCTATATGGGCGTGTACTGAACCTGATTGGTCGATGTCTTGTCTACAATTTCCTTAGAGAGGTGTGATTAGTTGATTTCTTTCGTTTGTTCGTAGTATGTTAAGGTCACTTCGATGTGATTGTTTCACCTTTTACGTTTCGATGACTTCATGAATGTCGATATGTTCTGATTGGTTGACTCATAGATATTGAAGGGTGATGTCCTATACTGATTCCCCAAATGACCAATCAAACCAAACTCAGGCAAGTTAGCACGTTATAAATATCCATACAAAAGTAATTATTTTGCTTCCTTGTAAAGTCCTAATGCACTGACACCCTAGTTTAGAGAAAAACTCAGTGTGAACATTCACACCCAGAGCTTGAAGTATTCAACACAATTTTTAATTGACAATTTGTCTTTCACACAGTTATATTTACTGATTTATTCAGATCTGCTAGATTTAGGCAGTCAGTGTAATGCTACTATCTGAGATGAGTTTATCTATGTACATATCCGACGAGGTGCATTAGATGAGTACTGTCATCACTCCGCTTAGTCCAATAATACTTTCAGATTGACATGTACAATGCCTTTGGTTGGTCAGTAGTTTTTTCACCTAGCTAGCCTCAGACATATACCTGATGCAACTTGAAGAATCCAACAGTTTGTCGGTACAACCTCAGTTCATCAATAAGGTTCGCTTAGAATGTCATCATAAAGCAAGTAACACAACGAATAGATATTCTGATTATTCATATGATTCACCAAACTGGAAGACGGATAGAGTTGGCTAATAGCTAACAATAAGCAAGTGACTGAAAAAAATCTTAACCACTTGACGATTGCATAACTAGAAAATGAAGACTTATATCATGCAAGCAAAAGTTGGATTCAGCTTTCAGAATTAAGTGACTATTATTAATCTTTCGGATATCAAGCAGTGTAGAGATGCATTGATTATCATAAGGAATCACGATGAAGATATTAACCGTGTACTTTGTATTTTATGTCGAAAGTGTCAAACGAAGTTCCATAAACAACCTGATTGAGCAGAGAATTCTAGTGGTTCGCTGCTGGGCACGAGAAGCTGATCTCCGGTGATGTCCTCTTAGGTGGCTCATAAATTCCTGAACTCAGAGATCCATGATAGTAACACAACAAGTAGTCATGCACACCATCATTGCGGATACTCACGACTGTACTGTTTTTGTGTCAAGTCTCCTAAAACCATCTACTGAACTGTTGAACTAATGTGTTCAGGTCTTCCTGCAGAAGTGGCCTTCCTTCGCCACTGTGCATAGCTATCCAAACATTAAAACCATCTTAAAATGCAAAGCAAGATGATTTAAACCATACTAGTAGTTCCATTGATCTTGGCGGCGACAGTTTCGTCCTATTTAGGACCCGTCAGCCGGATGTACCTGCACCTCAGTGATTGATATTGTTTGCATTGAGACTGGGGCCCGTTACTCTTCACTTCAAACGTCAAGAGGTTATCCACTAAGGCCAATGAGGCACAATAACCACCTCTAATGAAACAAGTAACAGTTTTTGTTTGATGTTCTGTTGGTATGCAGCGTCGAACTGCTCCACCTCTGTTTGCAGACGGGCTTCTAAGAGAATGGCTGTAGATCACTGTCATATAGCAAGAAGATGAAAGGGTCAAAAATTGTACCTTTTAGTATGCTACTCTTCACTGACTTCCTGTTGCCTGTCTCCAGGAAAACTACTTATCATTAACAATGTTTCACAGCCGTATATGAGAGCATAGACAACTGTAGGCACAATACACTCGACTCTTAATAGACAGTAGGATATCAAAGCTGCAAAAGCCAGTGGAAGTTTCTGTATCCGTGTGGATATTTCATCGGTCACTAACCAACTAAGGTTCATCTGACTTCCTAAGTAAGCGAAGTCGTCAACGCATTCACTTCAAAAGCCACCAACACAAATCAGTCCTGAAACAACAGTTTGCTTTTTAGGTGGTGAGAAGCGCATCCCAAACACAGTCAAATCGCTAATCAAGGTATCCATAAGATTCTGCATCTTGTTAGAACTATGTCGTCTGCCTACTATAGATCGATGAAGGATTCTTGTGTGATAAGACCAATCCCTATGAAGTCAGACGATGAGAAGTAGACCTCCATAAGTACATCTATGGTGAAGATCTTTGACGGACGCACAGCCTAAATTCTAACATGCTTGCTTCTATCATGGAACCCATTCTGAATTAACCCCACCAGAATTTCAACAGTTAAAGTATTCCATATTTCTTGTCTTATTCATAAGACCTGTTCGAGGTATACCACAGGCTGCAATAATCGCCTAAATGAATATTCATTGTAAACACCAGAACTGTGAATAGTTAAATTTCGTGCGTTCAAACAAAATCAACAGAAATCAATGATCAACTGAACTCTAGATATCCCAGTATCAAGTTCAGCTCAGAAAAAGAAATGGATAAGGGGAAATGGCCTTTCTTTGATTGTCTTGTTAAGCGCAAAGAAAATGGACATTTAAGCATAACCACTTTCACGAAAGCAACACATTCAAACATGTATATTTGAATTTCAATTCATCACATCCAATTAATGAGAAAGTTTCTGTTGCCTTCTCCAGTCTCTTAACAATAGCTCACACACTAGTAACAGATGAAAATGAAAGAGTTAAATAATTCAGAATGTGTGAACAAGATACTTGAAGTGAATAACTATCCGGTGAAATCCATTCGTAAAATTGAAAATCATATTAAACTAGGTGGTAAAACTACTCCAAGATCATGGGCCTCAACAAAAGTTGTCTCTTACAGATCACACAAACACACAAACACACACACTGGATGAAATTAGGAGATTGCTCAACAAATACAACGTCATCAGAGTGCTCTACAGAATATCAAACACATTTCAGAGCACCTTCATTCATTTGAAGGACGAGATGCCTCTAGATTCACAATCTATTTGTGTTTATCAAATAAAATGCTCAGACTGTGATGCAGTATATACATAGGTCAAACATCTCATGAAAACAAAATTAGGGGAAAGGAACAGCGAAAAGCTTCCAGTCGACCCTCTAGAAATTGAGTAGAGCTGGAAAAACTTGAAAATAGATGAGTTATAGCTGTGCATGCTACAATTTCAGGTCACAAGGTGGATTTTGACAATATCGAAATTATTCAGAAAGGCTTTAGAAACTATAAAGAATGTCTCATAGCAGAATCTTTTCACATACAGAGTGAAATGAGGGAGTGAAACATAGTTTGACCTGGTCTCAACCCACCTACACATACTGACATCACCATCATACATGTGACAGGAACTATTGGTAATACATATGTGCATACAAATCTCAATCTGTAATTCACGCACTGTTCACACACAAGATACAACGTATGGATATCATCTTTCTTCTACAATTCTGACAATGTTAAATGATCCATCCAAAAAAACTCATGTCAAGTTATCATACATATCATTATTTATTATTTGTCCTATGGGTTCCTAATGGAACATAGGGATTCACTAGCACGTCTCCAGTGAACTCTGTTCTCTAAAATCTTTTCAACCTGGCTCCATGACAGTCCACAAGCTCTCATTTCCTCCTCACACCATCTCCTCCATGTCACCCTCACCTCCGACACCCAACTCGTCGCTTCCCACGGGGTTACACTCGAGGAT